GACCTTAGGAGGGGAGGGGAAGCATAAAGCCAAAACAATTACTACAGAAAAGGCTGCAGGAAGGAGGGAAATCTATGCTGCTAAAGATAGTAAATAAAAGCAAAGCTGTGGAGTACTCACTCAATAAACGCCCTTATAAGATAGGAAAAGAGGATTTGAATCTAGGTGGTTTGAACTCTTTGAAAACTAAGTTGGATTTAAAATATCTTTCATATCTTATAGACCAGGAAAGCTTTAAACCCGAAGCACAATCTGTGCTTATGAAAACAAAGGAAACTTTGATTTTTGCCTAAATCTGTGTTGGATTTTGGTATTTTACAGAGCAAAATATGCATATTTAAAAGTTAAAAAAACAAATAAACTATTTATTTATTTTTTCATCATTTATTTTAATTTATATATCAGCATTTTCCCAAATTTAACTTTTTTGATTTGCTGAACAAAAACTGTCACTGCTCTTTGTACTAATTGCTGTATTGTCTTTCCGTCTCCTGTTATAATTGGATAAATCCAGTAAATATCTTATACAATGGTGACTTCAGACTTTGAATAAAATAATCTGATATCAGCAGCACATGGACTTGGGATGTGTTTAAAACTGTATAATTGGGGTTCTAGTCGCATTGCATAATCTGTTATTTGGAAACTTTAACCTAAAAATATTTAGCCTATAACATTTTTTGCATCAACAAATTTATAGGCAATATATTATTAAGAACACATTTGTACGATTAACTTTTTTATCTTTTGTTAATTTTTAAAAATATATGCATGAGCACGTGTGTGAATTCTGGAAAACATGGTGACCCCCTATTCATGATATCAAAAACAGGGTGACCCCCCCTATTCGCACAACCAAAAACAGGGTGACCCCCCTACTGATCCACCGACCCCCTCTAGACTGAAGTAACTGACCAATCCCTTATGTTTTGTTTTGATTCATAATATTTGACATGCCATATTGATTAGATACTATGTCTTTCATCCCTAAATGTGATAAACCAGAATTTAAACTGGTTGATAATACAATAAGCAAACATACCATGTAACACCACAATTAACAATGTATGTATCAAAATCATTTTTGTGTTTTTATTCATAGCTCTGATTGCGAAAGCTTGGATTGAATACCACGTATGTGTTGTTCAGCTTCTATTTAATATGTATTACTGTGTGTGTGATGAAACAAGTTAAGTCAGGGAAAGCGATGTAAGAAGCAGGTGTCTTTAATGGACCACCACATGCACCCGTACATGTTACACGGCAAATATATCAGTATGAAGCGAATGGAAAATTCACTTTTGTCTATTCACTTTTGCAGTACTATTGTAAGATACAAGACCTTGCTCCAGACAATCAGCGAGTTAGATTCAGATTAAGTGACAAATATTTATAAGTTCTTGGGTTTCAGAAAAGTTGTATTATTATTATTTAATTATGATGACGATTGTGAAATATGTGACCTCAACTCTTTGGCGAGATTACAGGACATGACGTTGATCATTCCGAAGACTGAATCTCGTAATATTTGGTAACACATACTGGTGAATGAATGGTAAAAGCTACAATGGTGCAAATGTATTGAGAAGTATGAATTACTAGCTTGTATTTTTGATACTTATTAATTTATGATAGATTATGTGCCGTGTTCCATTGAAAATTAGATACACGCCAAATAGAAATCTTATTAGATAACCCCTCTGGATACGAGTCACTTTACCGTCCTTGACAATGGTCCAATCAATGGTGCGGTAGTGTTATTTGCTTGATTGACGCGTGACAGTAGCCGGGGAACCTCCAGCAATTTCAAAAGACTTTGGGGTCAAGAGCTTATCAGTGTGTATTTGTTCTAGGGCTGACACGATCTATAATGGTGTATTGACAGGTTAGGTTTCCTTTTCAATAGTGGGGGTAGTGGAGTTACCATGGTAAACATCTACCTTTCTTAGCAAGAAGGTAGTGAGACAGTTACAAACTATGTTCAATGGATGGAACAGCTTTTGTGTCACGGTAGAGAAGAATGTTTCAGCTCCCCGGCATTATCCGTTGTTTTATTGTTTTCTGCGACAGTGGATCACGGTGATGAGTGTGCATGAGTTACGTTGCCCTCATTCTCTATATGGTTTTGCGGCATATTATCATACCAACTATATCAGTGACACTGTATTATTAGTACACAATCCGTTACAATACAAATACATATAATGTTTTCGCATCTTGACAAGTGAGACTGTTGTCAACAGTAACTCAAGGCTATACACATACACCCACTCACATACACTTTAGACCTGGCAATGCACTGTTAATATACCTTCAATGTCAATTAGGTGTTTCAATACTCAAAACGATGAGAGCGTTGTTAATGGTGTATCCTCCATTAACATTCTATAGCGATCGGAGTGTGATATCATTCATCCTTTGTTCGTTAACTTGGTGAAGTGGGCTATTTTTGACATTGAAATCATGAAAAAAAAACATAATTCGCAAAATTGAATTTAATAAATCGATTCAATTTGGGTGTTATAAGATACATCGTGAAGCAATTTCTGATCAGCGTTGCTGGCAATTGTTCGTACATATATCACCCAGCTATGCTATAGCTATACGTGATCAGAGATCATTCAATACCGTTACTCCGGATACACGGGTAAGCATTATGGGTGTCCCGCTGTCTTAAATTTGAGTAGAATATAATTAGAAGCGTTCTTCCTGACCTTGTGACCTTGTGATACTTTATATCATAAAACACCTTGTTTTTGCAAACCGTTCGCACTGACAAAATTATAAATCTAAATCAGGAGCCAATCCGCGACGTCCTTACAATTTTTTAAGAAACTGATAACCCCGTTTCTCAACTTGTTTGTTTATTTAGTTTCAAGCCGTATTCAAGATGGCTACCCCCATATAGTAAATATCGATAAATTAATCGTATTAATTTATTATCTTGTATGCCAGCTGACTGTTGTTGGACGCACGTTGATCTCTGACCGATACGTGTTACCTGGAACGTCATAGTCTCATGTCACTATACCTACCCACGTGACAGTAATATCCAATTTAATTGCCCGCTGCGGACACACATTGTCAATTTTGTTGCTGCTGTGCAAAGTTCATGTTATACCTGTTGTTGTTGAAATTAGAATCATTGTCGCATGAAGTAAGGACACTTAAGCTGATGGAAGATCGGGTTGGAAAACGAGACAAGGAATTGCCCAAGGACAAGGATGGCCATACAGAACAGTAGGTCTATTTGATCTCGTTAGTACGTTATATATACGCTATATAAATGGGTGATTGGTCATAGTTGCCCGGCCGCATCATGGTATGTGACTTGCAAACATTGAGGATTATATTATTCCTCGCTTCATTCCCATATCACCGAACGCATCAATAAAAGCAAAATATGCTGAAGTTATTGTAAAAAAGACACCATGACTTGCTGTCATCTGTCTTAACCTTGGGGAACGACCTTAGACTTATATTCAGGTCAACCTAGGAGGGCGCAGTATGTCATGGTAAGAGGTATGCAGTGTTTATACAGATCGAGTGAATGTCTTCAAGTTGACAGATCAGGGCGCTGTTTATATTGTTATGCTCACAGACTTATTTGATCTTCATTAGAACATAAGTTTCAAATACCCTAACCAGAGTACAAATAAACCTTGGATCAAAGAACAGAGGCTCTATTGTGAAACCTAATAAATATATATTAACGATTTCAGTGACATATTTTCACACCAAAATGTTGATATATAATTTTGCACATAAATTTCCATGAAGAAACAGGAGAAACAGTTAAATCTAGTTCCGATTAAGATATGAAAATAATTTTCGTAAAATACTAGTATCAAATATCCGTCTGAGTATTTTATTTCCGGTGTTATAGGCATAATACTTTACACAACGGTGGTAATATTTTGACCCCACAAACATAATTCAATATAACTTGGTCTTAGAATTTAATACATGGCCTGTATCCTATATGTTCTAGAAAATACAAGAGCTAGTATATATTCGGGTGCCTGTTATGGCGTCACAAACCGTATTATAAATACAAGTGATTACTGAATAGGTGTTCAACTTTGTCATCTATCAACACAATGGTGTTTCAAACAGATATTGCCATTTTAAATGTCTTCTGGGACTAGACAAATATCACGATTGACTGAATATCGGTTACTTACAGATATGATCGAGTGTCGAATTTTGTTTATCACATATGCATTTCTTGACGTAAACCATCCAGTGTTTCCTGTACTCCCCAGTCTCGTAGGAATTACTTCACTGCCACTTCGTTATAAATTTCTCCTGAAAAATTCAGACACCTCTTTGTCATAATTATAACTCAAAACATAGCGGTAGTAACTCATACACTCGGCGGACCAATGAGAGGCAGTCATGACAGTTACGTAATCGATTGCAATGAGTATAGATAATTGTTAAAACTATTCACTGAAATAAAGAAATGTGGACATTAGTAATGACATGTATACAGGCGTGTTCGCCCTTGTTGAAGACTGAATGCATGCATGAAAACGCATGAAACGCTCTTGCTCTTGCTATCACCAGTTGTTCAACTGTAAAAACCAAGTACAGTCTGAGTATGCATAGAAAGTCCTACTCAAATAATTTCAGAAGTATATATCGTATATTAGAAAATACACGAATATTCAAAACTATTTTCCATACGAGATAACTACAGAACTTGCAATTCTCTTATTATCAGTAATGCAGCAACAGATTATACAGCGAATGAAAGATCTGGTGTTGCTCCTGACGGTGCATGGGGATGGGTAATTGTAGCGGCAACCTTTATGGTTCTATTTATTGTCAAAGGGTCTCATCATTCCATTGGTTTATTCTTTGCTGCGATAATGGATCACTTTGATGAGGGTGCCGGAGATACGTCATGGATGGCGTCGACACAAGTTACAATCAGTCTCTGTTTTGGTATGTATAATTATTTTTTTGTTTCATTTATTTTAGTGAGCGAATCCGACCCCACGACGGGTTTTGATTATAGTTTGAAGTCAGTGATTATTCTTTGACCAATTTCAAAATATTCTTATTTCAGGACCTATAGCTGCCGTTCTCAGTAATCGGTTCAGTCATCGCAGCGTTGTAGTCACCGGAGGATTGGTAACATCTATGTCACTCTTTGCGAGTGCATTCGCTCCAAATATTGCATTTATTACTGTGACGTTTGGGTTTCTTGTCGGTAGGTCGATATCTGTTTAGGAATAATGTTCAATACATGGCATGGGGCACAGTAATATTATATGTATACGGAGCAAAAACTAGTATACACACAGTGTTTGCAGTTGTGTTAGTGGTTGACTTTAGATGGTAGGTTAATATATTTTTAGACTAATAAGTTCCTGTAGTACCATGGTCCTGGTTCATACATGCATCTCACCTCTCAATGTGTTCCCCCTACTATTTAAAAACGTTTCTATCAGACAAAAGCAAGCCCAATTATGTGACATATTTTAAATGATACGACAACCGTATAATCGTTTACAGGTGTTGGCCATGGTTTGACACGTGGTCCCTCAGGTGCTATGGTTGGTAGGTATTTTAAAAAACGCTACGCCATAGCCAGTGGCATCTCTGCAGTTGGCGGCGGATTTGGGTCATTTGTCCTTGCTCCGTTACAGCGGTTCTTGATTGATAATTATGGATGGAGTGGCGCATTTATTGTGGTAGCTGGGATTGTTCTGCATTTATGTATCAGTGGATTACTCCTTCGGCCAATTCATTTAGGAAATAATATCAAAGACACAGATGAACTTAAGATAGAACAAGACGTTAAGGAATGTGCTACACACGAATCCACCTATGTGAGCACGAATAATTTGGACCATGTAATTAACAGGGCCTGGTGTTGCAAGGATGTTCTCTCTGTATGTGGCCACCTAGGATTACATCTTTTCACGGACGCTATGTTTTCTATTCTAATGATTCATGCACTCTTATTCGGATTTGGAGTCAACGTTCCCGCAATACATATTGTGAAACGAGCTGATAACATCGGTGTTACTAGATCGGAGTCTGCTGTGATGTTATCTGTGTTTGGGATCACGCTGATGATATCTGCAGTCGCGCAAGGATTTGTTGTTGACTTGTTACATTTGTGTAAAATAAAGTCGTACGGAGCTGGCTGTTTTTTATTTGGACTGTGTATTATAATCGTACCCGCGACCGACGATTTCATCTCTATGTGTGTTGTCATGGCAATATTGGGGGCAGCCAGAGGTGTATTTGCTGCATTGCATGTTGTTGTTACAAAAACTGTTGTTGGTGCGGAAAAGCTCACTAGTGGTTATGGTCTTTATCTTTTCTTTGTTGGACTAGGCCAACTGATAGGACCAGTCGCTGCAGGTAAGTCACACACTAGTAGTTTTAAGTTCTTCGCACTTAGTTAAGTGTCTGTTTCACAAATAAATTTCATGAACACTAAATGTAAACACTAATGTTATTTTATTTCCAAACTGATATCTATTTATTTAGGTTTTCTGGATAGCGAATTGAGATTTGACTAAAATAATTCTATTGCAATTTGTCACCAGGTTATCTATATGATGCTACTGGCAATTATGATGCGTCTTTTTATTTTGGAGGAAGTTGTGTCGTTGGTAGCGTTTTAATCCTCCTGATAGGTCAATATATAGTTAAAAATAAAGCTAAGAAGAGGGACAGGCAAACCGAGTTGCAGAAGCTTGGGTATACAAGATACACTATAACTAAAAGTGATAATAACGTTACGCAGACGACACGTATTGAAAGCAATGACATGCCTCCGTGCGAAGAGCTCTTAGTAGCGGAACACGTAACCAGTTTGTAAACTTATAAATATTTACCAAAGATGCATTTACGCGATATGTTTGTTCTGCATGGTGTATTTACTGATGTACTGTGACAGTTGTCGATCATATCTTGTACAATCTTGTCATTTGTATTTTATTTATGTAGATGTAGATTTTATTTATCAAAATGTGCTGACATTGCTACATTTCGAGTTTATTATCAGTTTAATTTAAACAAAATGAAACAATTATATATATATAATATATATATTAACACAGGTGCTCATTCAACCATTTAATAAAGTTCAATTAACGGTCACAGCAATTGAAATGCAGGTGATGTATGGTGACTAATACATATACTGTGTTAATAAATGTGTTTTGCAGTTTTTTTGTAGTGTGTTGTTCGCACAGTAACATCACGTACGCACGTTTAATTTACACGACGTTGTAATATAATTTAGAATCAACAACTTGCATGCTAAGCGAGACGTCATAAACATATATTACTGGAATTTTCAAATACATTGTTTACTAATTGTATTTAGTAGTGGCAATACTTAATCCTTAATCCATTGGCTGATCGCATGTTTACTCTGCCGTGCTTATAAATAAATAAATAAATAAATAAATAAATAAATAAATAAATAAATAAATAAATAAATAAATAAATAAATAAATAAATAAATAAATAAATAAATAAATAAATAAATAAATAAATAAATAAATAAATAAATAAATAAATAAATAAATAAATAAATAAATAAATAAATAAATAAATAAATAAATAAATAAATAAATAAATAAATAAATAATAAATAAATAAATAAATAAATAAATAAATAAATAAATAAATAAATAAATAAATAAATAAATAAAT